TTAAATTGACTATATTGTGTAGGAAGATATATGAGAACTAAATTTACGAGCAAATCCTCAGATAGCTCTAACTTTAGTGCCTTTAGTTTTCCAGCGATGTTAGACATCTCCATAATGTACTCCCGTATGTTCCCCTTGGCCTTATACCTCATGCAAATAAGTTTATTTAGAAGGTTACTCGTTTCTGACTTTTCATTCTTGGCAAAATATTGCTCAAGTTCTTTGAGGAACTTCTTGACGTTAGTGCTTTCAGTAATAGAGCCCTAAAACGCCTCCGGAATGGAGCATTTCATGATCATTAGACTCATGCGGTTAGAGCGATTCCACTTCTCAATTTTATCTGTGTTCAAATTTTTCATAGTAGCAGTGGGACGCTCTGTCCTGAGTGCAAGGTCTAAGTCCATACATCCGAGAACGATTTCCATGTTCTCTTTTCAAACTTTAAAATTCGTCATATTCAACATTGGGATCGTGTTAACTTGAGCGAAACATTTATAACAGTAGCAGAAACTGAATAGAGAACAAAAATAAAATATACTCACAATTAACATTCATGTCATACATAAGCATAATCAAACCATATAATGCACACATGACATAAACAAATAACTCGAAGCAAGGTGGGCTCATTTCAAGATACCTAGCACAACACTGATATTTAGTCTTTGGACCAGAAATATCAACCTGTAAGTGGTACTCTCCGCGGAGTAATTAAATATTGACAATAAATCCTGTCAAACAATAACCTTCCTTTGGGCCGACTACTGTTCACATGGAAAACCTTATAATTGTCACATATTTATTACCACAGGTATACCCATTATTCGGCCAAATAATAACCTTTCTTTGAGCCGATCATTATTCGCATAAATAACAGGTATACACATCTTTATATTCTAAAATAAATTAACATCCACAACAGAGGTTACTTTGGCAACAATATTATTTCAATCAATTTATTTCAAAATACAAGACAATTAAGTGCAATAATAATCAAATAAAACAAAATAAAGAACCGAAATTTCATTTTATTCAATTGAATCTTTAATTTTCTTTAATTAATTTGCACTTAATTTCTTAATAGGTTAAAAAATTGCCTAAAATCTACCAAAATTGGGTTTAAAATAAACCCAAAAATTTTCCTTATGGCCGCAGGTTTATACCTGCGGCCATTCACTAAAGCACATGCCCAATAGGGCCTGTGTTGGCTTCTTCTGTCACGGGCCCCAAATGGGCCCGTGATAAATTTTTGTTTTTGTTGCAGTTCTGGGTTAAAGCCCAGAATTGAGAATGCCCTATGTCACGACCCTTCCCCAGATGCGGTGGCCGCCAGGCCGCCACTGCATGCAGCCGCGGTGGGA